CATTTCCGAGTTCATTAGGTGATAAACTGTGTGGTTTTTAAAGTGGTCTCAGTTTTCCACAGGCCACAAGTACTAACACGTAGCTTTAAAAGATAAATTATATCAAAGTTCACAAGTAGTATACTTGATCTTGATGGTCGTTTAGATTGTTATGAGTCATCAATATATTACTTTCTGCGCTAAATTTCGTAATTGTTTAATTCCGCCAGTAGTTACCGTAAAATACCCAGAATATTGCTTTGCACTTTGCACTCAAAAATTCGCAATTGTTTATATTTTACTGGTTTTTCGACGTAAAACATCGCGATTGATTATGAATTATTAATTAAAAAGTCAGGACCGTACTTAAAACCATTCGCTCTCGTAACACAACAACAAAAAATCCTGCCAAATAACGACATCTTGCATGACCTGTACTGTACTGACCTGTAATGGATTATTCATGGTAGACGAATACAATGCGCCCCAACAAAAATTTGTATACTACGACAATGCAGGAGTACTTCCGAGCTCTTGGGAATTCTCTGGGTCTGAGACCTTGGATCAAGATTGTATTATTGCATGGGAGTTGGTGGTTTCGAGGAATATTTCGCTATTTTTGGCTTTTATTAATTTTAAACTTTAAAGCCCGATTTCTCGGTTACTAATAGATCGATATTAAAAGACTGAAAACGGTTGTAATTAATGAAAACCCGAGTGAAAACCCCTTCCAAATTATGTGCCATTTAACCATTCGTCTCATTTAAAAATTTGTGCGAGGTTGCAACCCTTAGCACATAACTATTTTTGCATTGGGCCCTTCCGATATAAAAATCGACTGCTTTTTGGATTTTTCCCATGGAGTACACATTTTCGTGGGGACACCGTGTATAGTGCTATATTGAATAGTCCAATTAGACCGATTTGGCAGTTAAATTCTAGCTATTATGTGAATCATTAATTTAGTCATCTTCAGAATGTGTCCCTGCGACACCGCGATCGGTGTGTTTACCCCATTCTCCACGTGTAGCGGAAGAAGGTACATTTCAAATGCAAGATTATTAAATTGACATTTAGCGAAACTAATTAAGTAGACTCAGTAGTGTGCTGACACTGATTATGTAGGTAATACGTTTACTCGCAGAAACCAAATTTACTCAAGCGATTGGGTTCAATCAAACCGTTTAAAATAAGGACCGATTGGTCCGATCGATTTCCAATTTACCCTTAAAGTGAAAACGAACCGAGGCACGTGTTAAGGCAAACAATTAATATTCGTTTGTTCTTTTTCTTGGTGGGTGGATACGTGAAATTGAGTCGCTTATTTATAGTTAAACATGCCGTTTAGCAACTTGCCAGCAAGCGAGAAACTACGTATTTTAATTTAGGAAACGTCCGATTCACTTTGTTACGTTTTTAGATGGTAGAAGAAATAACAAAAGGAAGATAATCATAGCGCTTTAAGTGAAACAATAACGGGTAGCGAACTCTCTGCGGATTCACATATGAAAACAATGGAATAGAATGCGATTGCTAAATAGCGATATGTAGCAGCAATCCTTTACAAAGCCATTCTCTGCACATTGCCTCTCGAAACAATCCTTGAATTACAGAGTTAAAACAACACGGATTGTGTTTTTAAGAAATTGCAACGATACGGTATATTTGGAATGGCGCACTGATGCGGCAGTCATTTAATTTTTGGACACGCAACCGCAGTCATCAGAACAGAGAAATGATATAGTCAGTTTCATTAGTCTATTAGATTACCTCCCTTTTGTTTGTAAAGCATTACGTAGAATGAAACATTTTCTGTAGAAAACATGAGATGCGCTATAATTCAAAGGCATCGTGGTCATTTGTTATGTCTGTTGAAAGATAATATAGATTACGTGCAAGGACTTCAGATAATATAGTAATGGATATTAAGAGGAGTTAAAGGCGATATCCTAAATGCCATTAAATCCGACCAAAATTAGGTTATAGCGCAAATTTCGCTCGCAAAGTAAATAAAGCATTTATTCTTAATTATTATCGTTAGGGGTATTGTTAGAAAGCAAATATAGGGTTAACAGTGTCATTACGTAATATTATTAGTTCATACATCAACTCACGGTTTATAGGTATTTTATAAACGTGATCCAAATTACCACTATTATTAGGGCTTATTTCCGTGGGGGGATGCTGAACCAGAGATTTTGTCAACCAAAGTGCTTATAGTAAAATCACCACATCATTAATTATACCCACTGGGATACTGAAAATTGATATCCACGAAGGAGGAAGAAAATTCACGTAGCCTTTGAATATTATTACCGTTCAAATGACCACGTGAATGAAGAGTTAGTTTAAAAATAATAATTTTCGTAGCTATAACGATCGATGCCCCCTCCCTTATTCAACTGAAACTAAAAACAACGCCTCTACCAACATTTTTGAAAATTTAAATGCTGTTCATTAAATGAAGTTGAAATGTATAACGCAAAATAAAACCTGCCACTGAATTTCTGTTTGACGTGCCCTTATACTCTCTTATCCATTTGCTTATAAGTACTCGTATTTAGCATTACTGTCATGATTTTTTCAACTTTGTTTTTTGCCTTTGACGCTGCATGCCATTTCTCATTACTTTAATATCACTATGTATTCTTCACTATCCTTATTAATCGTACTTTTCCTTCCTAATAATCTCGAGTCATAGTGAATAAGGATTAAGTATGTCAAAAGGAGTTGTGTGTTTAAGAGGTTCAAAACAAATACTTAAATTAATGAATATAAATGGGACCTTTGGAGGTATAGCACTAAACAATATACTATGCGATCAAAAATGAGTCATCTCTAGAAATATTGTTTTGATGGGAAATCGTACTTAACTTGAACTTCCAAAGTCGACTTGACCGTCACTCATTTTTGGTCGCCCATTATTTTGAGACTTCGTCGTATTTGGAAGAAAATGGCTGGTGTGCTTCCCTCTATCGCCCAATTTCTTTTATTCTCTCAATTATAGTTAAGGCTTATTTCATTTAAACATTCACATGACAACCTGATAAAAGACAAATCATGACATTCCATAGAAATTATAACAATATTAAAAGGGCAACCGCATCGACAAACTCGCATAATATAATCATAAACAAAGTATAATCGATATAGGATCCCAGAGGTGACGTAATTGCATCGGCTTAGCAAAAGATTGGCACGAAAACTAATAATCGGACAGTACATGTCAAGGATCAATTAAACGAATCGAGTAGCAATATTGACACGGTAGCCCTTTCCTAAGACACATAAAACAAGTACATATAAATATATCTCTGGCGTATGTCAGGATAAGCACAAGGCAAGATTTGATATCGAAATCAAAAATATAGCTCATACTCGAAACAAATCATCGTGATAAATGTAAATATTGATTATTACCCGGTTCAAATAAATATTACAAGGAGCATTTCGTTACATTACAACAACAAAAAAACAATCTTGACCTAACGCAACCCTCCTCCACATGAAGCACCCTGCAAAGAAATAGCAACATAATGGACCTACAAAGGGCAAGTAATTCAATTAGAAATAAACAATGCTCCAAACGGTAGCAACAGGAACATGAGAATGAATTACGATTTAATTCAGTACACTCGTTAATCTAAATATAAATAAAAACACGTAAATCTGGAAATGAAAGTGAAGTGACTTTGCCTGACATAAAAATACTCGCAATAAAAAAAATGAGTCAAATTCTTGACAGAAAAGCTTCCTAGCTCACCTCAGACCAAAAAGCGCTCTTCACCGTTTGACGTCTTCGCACGCTTTTTAGCGCATTTCAAAATAAAAAAAAATGCGCTATTGTGGCCACTTTGTCCGTCCGTCCATCCGTCCGCTCGTTTTGAGACGCTACTAGTTTTTTATCTTAAGAGCTATTGTTCTACTTTTTTCGCTATTTGGTTCGTTATGGTGTCCAGTCTTGCACTAAGGAAGGAATTTTTTCTGTACCGCTTACAAAAAAGTTATTGTAAAAAAAACAAAAACCCGTTTTTTACATGTTCCATAATTTTACACTTTTGCCGTTTATTAACGATCCTAGAGATCGTTTATAATTTTGCATTGCTGTCTGTCGTCTGCCTGTTGGTCTGTCCGTCTGTTCCTTTGTCTGTCTGTCCCTCTATCTGTCCGTGTGAACGATAACTTTGTTTAGAAATGTCCGATCGCTCTAACATCTCCGTTAGTTATGAACTGAATTGCATGAAATTCAATATGGGCATAGCTTTAGCCATATAATACGCAATGCCAAACCGAATTGCAAACTTTTTTAATTATAAAAGTATTTAAATGAAATTTTATACATAGCCACTTGGAATAAAAGCAAATTTAACGCCAATTTCAAAATTTGGTTTTGCGCATGCGCAGTGTCAACTTTCTTATTTATGGAGGGATTTAAATGAAATTTGATACATAGCCACTTGGAACAATAGAAAATCTAACGTTAGCTTCAAAATTTAGGTTTGCGCATGCGCAGTTCCAACTTTCTTATTTAGAAAAGCATTGAAATGAAATTCTTCTTATAAACTGAAATTGAAGTAGGACATCAAAATGGATTGCACATTATGCAACGCTATCTTTCATATTATTGTGGCCGGATTTTTACAATTTTAACAAAAGTTGCATCTTACAAATAGGAAATGAATGCAAGTTGAAATGCGCTTTATGTAAATCGTTTACGATTACTTTTTAACTTGTTTTACTTTTGTTTGTGTTTATTACTAATACTTATTACCAATCATTCATTTATTATCTAGTCAGTAAACACAAAGCTCCTTATTCAATTCAATCGGCACGTAAGAATAAGAATGACATTTTACAGGCACTACACCCTCATTAAGTTGTCAATGACCTTCTTTTTTGTTGGCAGTCTGGTGCAGATGTTATTATAGATGGGTCAGGTTGTACTTTTATTTGCGGTATATTAACTCAGATTTCAGTGTTTAAATCTGTCATATTAATTAATCATTATAAAAACTGCAGTATATACATGTACACAGATATTTAAAATAGGCATCTAAGTTTTTATTTAATTTGGGATCCATCTTGTGAACTCTAAATGGGGTTTCAAACTTCTTCCAAATTTAATGAACATACCTTCCCCATGAAATTTATTGTGGTTGAAAATTGTAAATGCGACTAGTTTCGCCGATAAGGCATCTTCAGGCGTTAATTTTACTACAATTACAAAACTTAATGACTAGTAAGGGTTATCACAGCTACTTACAATGAGTTGTTTAAATTATGAAACGATTGGTGTGAATACACGTTTTTGACAGGTGTTGAATTAAATGGAGAACCTAGAAGTTGTACGTTACAGTTGGAAGCCACATTTTCCGATACTTACAATATTCGGAATCAACATAATCTTAGCCCTACGGGCACATAAAATTAAGACAAACTAATTAATGCGGTGAAGCCAAAGTTGCGAAAAACACAATTTCAGAGTCGGTTAAGCCGAAACTGAAACAATTTAAAAACCTGAAACAATCATATTATAAATTATGTGTAAAAATCTTAATTAAACTTACGGAATTGAAGGGGAGGTGAATTTAAAGTTACTAAATTACATTTTAAAAAAGAAAAATTTTTTAAAGACTAGAGCACGTTGACGACATGACAAAACTCCTTTCGGACTTCGACTCCCCAGATAACGTTTGTGAATTCCTTATCAATAGCCTTGATTTTTTCTATTTCGTTAACAATTTGTGTTGTATTGCTGTGTGCACTGATCCGTAGGCCAGAAAGACCGTACACAAGACACCACTTAACCTAGCTAGCTCTTTAATTTTTTAATTTTCTTCCCGGAATAAATCCTCACCCCAGCACAAAGGGATAATGGGACTCTAAACTTTTCTTGTCCTCTTAAATATCGGTACAAACGGTATCTTTAATCACAGTTCACTAATAACTTAGATTTTAAAAATGTTTACGACTGACACATCACACTGATGAAATCGTCCAAAACGTAGAATCTTCTCTCCAATCAGTCGAAGACGCTGACATAAAAAAATGTTTCTCCCACTGCTAACAAAAATTGGAAGACGCCGCCACACACACTTCGCCGACAGACACCTCTAACCGCCGCAACTACGACGGACAAATTAACGATGACCCACTGTCCGGTTTACAACGCTGAGACTGAATCCAGATAGAAAATAGTTCGGCGTTGTACTTGCCACGAACAACCGTAGAAAAACTAGCCACAAACTCGGATTCCGGCTTCAGAAACGAAACTTCAAAAATCTACACTACCGCGTTGAAAAAACTTTCTTAAAATTTGCCCGAAACCTCGGAGCTAGCTGTGACGAAACACTAATTTTAAACGAACGTACGTCGGCGCAGGTACTGGCATAAAACCGCACTTCGGCCTCGAATGTGGAAAAAAGCGACGTTTTTCACGTTTACGACCTATTTAAGGCGAAACCTCTCTTATGTTCCAAAAATCCTGGTAGCCAATGGGACTCCCTAGCAATAGATAATTTTTACCTTAGAAACCGTCCGCGATTTTTAAATCAGAGGTAAAGCAATTTTTCATTTCCTTATCAGGCATTGGAAGATAACCCAACTCAAATTGCTTGGTACTACGCTAAATTTATTTACAGTATATACAATTCTGCAAAGCGCGTTGAAGATCGAACGGTGGAGTTCTTCGAGCGGCAGCGCTGCTGATCAGGATCGCGGCTGTTACTGGCTACAGGTAGGCTGGATTAGAAGATCGAAATTGAGGCGGTGGGCTCGAAAGCGAATGAATTGTGCTCACCTGGGGCCGGTATTTAAATAGTCGGACTTGCACGCTAGTTGCTGACCGCGCTGGCCAATCATGATAATATAATAATAATAATATTTATTTTTCATGCTACTACGCAAAAGCGCTTACATTCGTCAAAAAATATATAGTAGAGATTACAAACAACGTATATCAACTAACAACAAGCAAATAAATAAATAAACAAATTACTAATGTGTTTCTAGTATGCATTTTTAGTGTTAACGTAGCGTCGATATGTAGTCCGAGAAACTTAACGGATTCGGGGTTATTATAGGTGTGTCTCTTTAATGTGGACAAGAGTTCCACTGTTTTTGTACGATTCAGAATTAAATCATTTGCAGTACACCATTCGGTTGTAAGAGAGAGTAGTACATCTCGTATGGGCAAGACATCCTCCAAAGTTTCTCGGTTTACCAAGAGCGTTGAGTCATCACTGCGTAGAGAATACAGTCCGCATACGGTTTTATATAAGGAAAGTCATTAAAATTTATTATAAACAGCAGTGGACCTAATATTGACCCCTGCGGTACTCCTCTTTTAATGCGTAATTTATCAGAGATCACTCCGTTAGTAATCACATGTTGGAATCTATCAGAGAGATACGATTCTATTACTTTTAAGCTATTTACGTCAAAATTATATATTTCTTTAAGTTGACGCATTAGTATATGATGTGAGACACTATCAAACGCCTTTGATAGGTCCAGGAAAATCGCTAATGAGTATTTTCCCTCTTCAAAGCAAGTAAGAGTATTATTTATAAACTTATAAATTTTATAAATCTCTTGTGCTTGTTTGGTTTCTGAAACCGTATAGTTCCATATGCAACAGCTCATTAGTTTCAAAGTACTCACCAATTTGATTGTATAAAATTCTTTCAAATATTTTAGAAAAGACAGGCAGTATGGATATGGGCCGATAGTTTGTGAGGTCATTCGTATTGCCTGATTTAAAAACTGGTATAACTAATGCCACCTTTAGTTGGTCTGGAAAGTGCCCTGATAATATTGTAAGATTAATTAATTTGGTCAATGGTAGGACCAATTTATTAATATTACCTTTGACAACAATAAAGGATGTTCCATATATGTCTTTAGTTGACGTTATTGCGTAGTCTACGGCTCGCTGTTGCGCGGTCGCCACCCACATGTCACACTGATTTATCCTGTTCATCTTATGGTAGAATTCAGGCAATGGTTTAAAATCTTGCAACCGTGCTTACCATTCTAGTATAGCATTATTAAAACCGTCAATAATATAAGTAGTCAATGTACTTAAATTTAACTTATTTCTCAGTAGCATCGTTGATTGATAAATATATTATCAATCAACGGTAGCATGGTAATAGGTACTTCTACTTCGAGAATTTTTCACTCCGTTTTCAAATCCGGGATTCAAATTTTCTCATCAAGAGAACTTTATCCTTCCTCACTTGAAACAGTGATTGTAATTCTTATTTAGAATCATTAAATAATAATCAAATACTTGAAAATGTTTGTTAAAGATGAACGAACTCAATCTATCCACAACATTACCATACCATCTTTTTTGCATCCACAAAGTATAAACATAAAAATGCAATCTACCAACCTTAAACAAATGGCGAGTAACTTATAAATTTGCTACTATACTACATATTATACGTAATATTTAGTTTCTTGAAATTTGAGAAAAATGTCGCAGCTGCTATACATTGAACTTACATTGTACAAAGTGCAACATAGGTCTTTTTTTGGTAACATTTCTTAGTTCATTGTTGTTTGTTACTTACTTTATCCGGATTGGCTAAGCCATACGTCCTTTTGCTTTTTGCGAGAAAGTCTGTAATGTAATGTGATTGTGAACATTGTAAAAGATGATAAAAGGCCTTCTGAATTCCGCAAGCTTGCAAACGTGAGGGCTAATGCGAAATCCGAAATATATTGTCCGAAAGTCGAGTTACTTGCATTAGAAATATTACGTAATAAAAAATTGCTTATACGTCTTTGCATAGGAAAACACACAGAGAGAGTACCGAGGGATTTTTAAAAACCAATGCGCTAAACGAATAATTTATATCTTACACAGAGAGCTTTCGCTTTGTTTTTTATTCAAACATTGTGGCGTAGATTATCATTTTGATTTATGTCCTAGTATATTATACGCAGCCGGTATTTTTGATAGTATAAGCTTGTTTTTTCGATTTACTTCGAAGAATTCTCTAAATGTTATTAGAAGACGCGATTTACATAATCCCGCTAAAGCACAAGGATCCAAATGAAATGTGAAGTCAAAGGTAATTGCTAGGACAAGGTAGTTGCATTTGTCATTCGCATCGAGTGGATACGTCATTTTCCCATTTTCCATGTCTAGGTTCGAAGGAAAAAACCAGCCACCCTAACGTTTTGTAATAAAAGCAACCAGTCCAATGAAATTGCGACAAGGTTTTTGAAAATGTTGAATTAAAGTTACAGAAAGATTTAGAAATGGGCTTCACGGAATGCAATGTAATTTCGTGTAACTTCATTAAGCGACGCGGCACCGTTCGCCAAACGCAAAAAATTAAATATAGTACATTTCGTTAATGAATACAAAAATTAAATTAAATGCCAGGAGCGAAATTAGACGTGATCAAATAAATAGTGTCCCAAGAAAATTAAAACTATACTTGGGTACGCATTTACAAAATGTATCTAATAATTTGTTTTGTTCGCATTTCTGCCCTTTAATTGTTATTTAATGGCCTAGCAAGGTACACGATGCAAACGAAAGGGTAGTCTGAAATTCCATTTCGTGATTATTAATTTCAGCTTAAACTTTTCTGGTCGATCAAATGGGCTAGGAACTAGGGAAGCCAAGGCCGCCACTGGAATTTACGACGAATACACTCTCCGCAAAACAGTTACCAGAAATTACACACAATTCATCATATATGTGAACATTCGAACGGTTTGTTAACTGTAATTTTTATTGCAATGTAAGTGTTCTGCTGGTCTTCTCCACCTACTATCCAGTGGAAGATCTTCTTTTTATTCTAGCATCTACGCATCACATTTGATGATTTCCAGACACCATGCCTTTTTATAACCGACAAATCAGCTCCTGCGTTGACTGATAAGGGCACTGATTAGCAATTCAAACTTATCGGTAAACTCCTTTTAGCATTTCATAAGAGAACGGTAGGTACTTTATCGACAGGAGTGGTTAATGATCGTTACACAAAAGATACATGCAAAAACTACAATGCAAAAGTTAGACCTAATTCCTACTAATTCTATCTTAAGTACTCCATTAATAAATGGGTTTCGGATTGCGATATAAGTAAAACAAAATTGGGTAATTTAAATTAAACATGGCATAACCTAAAAAGAAGCGTGATAACAAACAGGAATCCTCTGAAAATAACTTTACCTTAACAGCACACTGCCATCTACTCATTCGCGTAAAGCCGCTTAGATAATTAATTTAAACAATTTTAGAATAATGACTCCTAAGTTACCATAAATACAATAAAAATAAAAGCTCTATGAATCCACGAGGAAATACTCAACTCATAATGGGAAGTTGTAAGTTGCTGAAGGTAATGATGACATTGTTAATGTCGTAAATACATTTTCTTGGACCAGTGGTCTCCACCTCCCCAATTGGTCTAGTGGGTAAAGAAATACGTCCCCTGGAATGACGCTATTTGCTTAACTCTTCCCATAATAGTTGTACATCGTACCTTGTACAGTGGCTCTGAAAGATCGTATTCGTGATAAACTAGAGATATACAAGGTGTTCACTTCAAAACTTCCCACCTCCAATGGCTCAATATCTGTATATGTTTTAAAGAAATCCTAAAAGACGTGTACCTACCCTCCTTCACCCTTTGTCCTCCGGAGGTACCTCTTTAAAAATTTTAAATGAGAAACGTATCGAGTAATACCTCATTTGAAAGGTCTTTTTTCACCGGACTTTTTTACATTTCTAATAAATGTTTTTATTCTGAAATTTGATTACAATTCTAAATATTACAAAAAATCGATTTAATAAATGCTGATAATGTTTACCAAACAATGATAAATCGTTATTCAAATTCGCGGTGCATATTTTCAAAAACATTTAACCTAATTGCTTTGAAATTCGTTGACAAAGCTCTTATAAATTTTAAGCTGATGGGCTTTAAATGTACCCATACAAAGCAGTTTATGTGAGAGTTTTATGGTGTTTTCTTACGCAATAAATAAATAAAAAAATAAATTTGTTTCAAAACGAAAATGTATGGTGAGATAAGTGGTAGAGGACTAAATTTCCCACAAAGTCCACGACTGTATACATAACTTTTTGGC